CCCGCCACAACGCCTGGCTATTTTTTTTCAGTTGCAGCCATCATTGTTGTTTGGCAGGTCCGGGCTGGATTCGAACCCACCACCTTAGGTGTATGTGGCTGGCACCTTAGCCACTTGAGCCACAGGCACCGAGCCTGTCTCCGTGATTTTAAACCACAAAAGTAAAGTAACATGCACCTGGAGAAAACAATCCTGTTAAGGTATGTTTCACACTTGGTAGTCTCCTTGTTGGGGCCTGGATTCTCTTAACTCCCAGATGACTTCTCTTGAAGTCTTCATTGGCCTGATGTTCTCCTCAGCAGCCTTTCTCCTCTACAATCTTTTGTGCAGCCATAAATGATAAACTAAAATATTAATAGCAGTGATTTGACAGATATTTCTAAGTCAGGTAGTAAACCACTTAGGATTGACCCTGCGACTTCTCCCTCTTTATGCTTAGGGTCCTTTATGCCTAGAGAAATTCAAAATTTCAGAAAGTCAGAATGTTTATGGCTTGGAGCTCTAAGATTTATAAGTAGTTGATTTTTCTTAGATCTGGTGGCAAAGTGGGAGAATGAGGAACTCAGCCGTTCCTTAGTTTTACTTAAAGCCCAAAGATTAAATGACCTTTTTAAAATATATATATATGAGATTGATTTTTATTTTTATTTTTATTTTTGAGACAGAGCCTATGTCACCCTTGGTAGAGTGCCGTGGCATCACAGCTCACAGCAACCTCAAACTCTTGGGCTTAAGCGATTCTCTTGCCTCAGCCTCCCAAGTAGCTCAGACTACAGACACCTACCACAACACTCGGCTGTTTTTGTGTTGTAGTTGTCGTTAGTGTTTGGCAACCCAGCCAGGTTTGAACCGCCAGGCCCGGTGTGTGTAGCTGGTGCCCTAACCACTGAACTACAGGGGCTGAGCCAATTAATGACCCTTTAAGTGATATGGGCTTTTGTAAACTCTCTGACTGTTTGGCACAGACAGCCTTCCCCAAGAAAATAGGCTTCAGTGTTTCTTCCCACTGGTCATCCTCTTGCTATTTCATTCAGATGGGCTTTTCTGCTTTTTTGTTCTTGTTTTCTAGAGGTGAGAAATGGTTCATTTGTTGCCTTTGTTTCCTGGCTTCAGTTTCAAAATGAAATTTTTCAAAATTTTATCTAGTTCTTTTCTCTTATTCTGGACTCATTACTTCTCCGTAAGCCCATTTGATCCTCCCATTCTTATAGAGATGCTCAACATGCTTTCATGCTTTCCCTAAGTCACATATGAAGTCATGTATGTTTCTTTACATACCCTTGAAGAAGCAGGGTAGAATATTGCATGTGATTCATATAGGTTGGTTTTTCAACAGGGCTAATATATGCTTAGTAGAAGTTTCCCTGAATGGTATTATTTGAGTTCTGTATCAGTTTTTGGGGGAGTGAGGGGAGATAAGTCTCTTACTTTGTCGCCCTCAGTAAAGTACTATGGCATCATAGCTCACAGCAACCTCAAACTCTTGGCCTCATGCGATTCTCTTGCCTCGGACTCCCAAGTAGCTGGAACTACAGGCACCAACCACAATGCACAGTCATTTTTTACAGGAGGTCTCGCTCTGACTCAGTCTGGTCTAGAACCTGTGAGCTAAGGCAATCCACCTGCCTCAGCTTCCCAGAGTGCTAGGATTACAGGCATGAGCCACCATGCCCAGCCTATATCAGTTTTTTAACAGTCATAAACCATGTTATATATTCCATTATTTCCCAGCAACCATGGAGGGCCTCTCAGTCTTGGTTCCTTTCACAGGTGTGAGAGCAGATATAGCATAAGAGGTATGCATTTGATTGAGAGGTCTTTAACAAGTTAGGCACAGGTGAATTTGAAAATGTGTACATCTTGTCTGCTAACCCATAAAGCAAAATGGAATCATTGAGTTACAGGTAGGTAGCTGGTAAAGCCAGTAGAATCTTTGTTTCCTGCCATAGACTTTAAGAAGGGAAAGTCAATAAAGTAACTTTTCATTAATTGATAATTGGTCATTATTATTTATAGGTGGGATGTAGGGCATGCTTTCAGGGTAATAATTCAGCAGCATTTATGAAATAAAATTCATGTGCCAGACTAAGCTGGGAATCACACAGAAAGTCATGGGTAGTCATGGCCTTCCAGGATACTTTTTTCTAGGTCCATTCTTTTATTTTAGTAGTTTCATGAGGTAAATAGGAAAATTCATACTTTCATTTCTTTGACGATAGGTAAGGAAACAAAGGCATAAGGGTGTTAGTTTGTCTCAAAAATATGAACCTGAGGAAATAAAAGTTGTAGAACAGATTTCATGACTATTCTCCTCATTGATTTCACAGTGTTGTTTTGTGTAACATTTCCTATGTTAAATGCAGAGCTGGAATTTAAAAACAAAACTAGATTAGAACCAGAGGGCTTCATAAAGATAAATAGTGAGTATTGTAGTGATGTACAGTAAGAGAGAAAGTTGAGTAGAAAGACTTAACATGATTTTTGAAATGGACTAGAGCTTGCTGTTTTGTTTCATAGCCTGAAATCATCCTTTTACTTTAAGCAGATTACAACCATTCTACTTTATACTTAGCCATTTTCCTGCTGAATGTATTACACCTATCATGTCTCCTATGAAGGAGGCATGTTAAGGTGCACATGACAAACATGTATTTATCATGTTCTTAGGGAATTCAGAATTGAAAGTGAATACCAACCATAGCAAGAGATTCAACAGCAGGTGAAGAACAGAAGCTATAGCTATCTTTTCTTCTATCTTTCACTTTAAGCAAGTCCAAAGATTCAGGTACATGAAAAAATGAATGTGTGCTTTCATTGGCAATAATCCAAGATTTACACAGAATAGTCTGATCTTAAGTAAAGCTCAGGAACCTTTCACTTCCCCTTGAATGCAAGCTACAATATCGTTATCTTAACTAAGAGCCTTTTTTGTTTGTTTATTTTACAGAAACAAACCAGAAGCAGTAGAAGTAACATTTGCAGGTAAGTTTTTTTTCTCAATCTTATTAAGAGAAAGGATAATATAAAAAACAGAAAATAAAATTGTTCCTAAAATAAGCTTTGATATCATGAATACTGTCCCTTGTCAGGTCTTTTTTAACTCTTTATTGTAGATGACCACTTTATCTGTTTAATCCATTTGATGACTAACTATAAACTTGCTGATACTTTAGAAGTGTGGGTTTAATTTGTAGTTCAAACTAAGGCTTATTTAAAATTTGGAAATAGGCTCGGCGCCTGTGGCTCAAGCGGCTAAGGCGCCAGCCGCATACACCTAAGGTGGCGGGTTCAAATCCCCAGCCCGGGCCCACCAAACAACAATGATGGCTGCAACCAAAAAATGGCTAGGCGTTGTGGCCTGTAGTCCCAGCTACTTGGGAGGCTGAGGCAGGAGACTCGCTTGAGCCCAGCAGTTGGAGGTTGCTGTGAGCATGATGCCATGGCACTCTACCCAGGGGGATAGCTTGAGGCTCCATCTCAAAAACAAAAAAAAATAAAAATAAAAATAAATAAAATTTGGAAATAGTATGTTGTATTATCTGTAGCCATCAGTCTTAGTTTGCCTAGTATTTGAGTAGTAGGGAAATAAGAACATGCTAAAGACCTGTTTGTCAAATCAGAGAGACATTTTGCTGCTTTCTATAAAGAAAGCATTAGGCATGGCAGTGGTATTGTGATGGTTTTTAAAAAATAGCCTTCTGTTCTTTATCTTCCAAAGATACATTCTAAAGTATTTACAAATGAAATGTGATGTCTGGTATTTGCTTCAAAATAAATTGTCAGGAAGGGTTTGTCTAAATGAAACAAGAATTAGCCATCTATTGATAATTGATGGAAATTCGTTATGCAGTGTTTTCTACTTATATGCATGTTTAAATTGCATCCCAAATAGGAGGTTTTTAAAAAATTCTTTCAGTACCAAGCTGTGATTAAAGTAAGAATAGCTTTGTAGGTTGGTCCAAGGGCAGTGGTATTTACAATTTATTGATCACAACTAGTTTATAGATTTATTTGTTCCTTCTCCACTCCCACTGCTTCACCTGACTGGTATTGGTGTGTGTGTGTATACACACACACATAGATATATAATTTTAGGAAAGAGCAAATGGGTGGGTATTCAGCGATTCTATTCAGTGTTTCTTCTGACTTCCCATGTAGATTTAAAATAAACACCATTTTACTCATATGCTTTCTTATAATGGGTCTTTCTTGTGGCCTGCACCAAAATAGGTGCTTTGAGAGATTTTTCCCCATTCCCAAGTTTAGTAGTCCTGCTTTCCTTACAGATTTTGATGGGGTCCTCTATCATATTTCAAATCCTAATGGAGACAAAACGAAAGTGATGGTCAGTATTTCTTTGAAATTCTACAAGGAACTTCAGGCACATGGTGCTGATGAGGTAAGTAAGTTCCACATCATTTTCTTAGGACTCTTTGTTTCCTCCTCACCTTTTGTTGACTGCTTGCCACTCACAGAAGATCTGTGGCACTAAATTACCCCCTCTGACACAGGCCACTCTGGACAGTTTTTTCATCTAACTAGAGGCTCTTAACTACCATAATGATGCAAAGATGTGTGTTTCCCAGAAAAGGTTTTGGCTCCTTGCCTACTTGGTTTTTATTTTGAAGAATAAAGATGTCCTCTAACCAAAGCTTAATGACTATCAAAATCTTAGAAGGATTTGCCTTTTTTTTCAAATTATATGTCCTGGCTCGGCGCCTATAGCTCAACCGGCTAAGGCGCCAGCCACATTCACCTTAGGTGGCAGGTTCGAATCCCCAGCCCGGACCCACCAAACAACAATGACGGCTGCAACCAAAAAAAAATAGCCGGGCGTTGTGGCAGGCGCCTGTAGTCCCAGCTACTTGGGAGGCGGAGGCAGGAGACTCGCTTGAGCCCAGGAGTTGGAGGTTGCTGTGAGCTGTAATGCCACGGCACTCTACCCAGGGGGACAGCTTGAGGCTCTGTCTCAAAAAAAAAAAAAAAATTATATGTCCTACCAGGATTTTATAACACAGTGGAAATAAAAAACAGCTTTAGTTCTCAAAAAACATAGCAAAGAATACTTTTCCTTGACCAGCATAAAAACAGCTATTGTGAGAATGAGATAGGTTCTGTTCTATTTTTGTAATGTTATCAAGGCAGATGCATAACTTCTAGCATGTTTAAGGTTTATAATCTTAGTTTCACATTCTAGAAGTTTAGGGACAAATAACTTTCCTTTAAATTTTTTGATATAGTGTTCTTTAGAGCTGGCCTTTCTAAATATCTCTTCTTCCTTATAACTGCTGTAGGGGAATTAAGAAGGGATGTCCAGACATTATGAAAGTCTTGATAGCTATGCCTTGTTCACTAGCTTCTTTCAATAGCTAAAGTAGCGGGTTTGGTTCCTGTTGAACTATATTTGCTCTGGGGAGAACCATTTATGGAAGAAAGAAAATGCTATTACACCAATGTGTGCACGTTGTGGTTGGGTCTTAAAGCAGGAAGTATGACTCAGTTCCTGAATCAGTTTTCAAATATCTTAGTTTTAACAAACTAGGTTTTACTTAATCTATTGAATGAAGATACTGCCATTTCTGTTTTCTTTCTGAAAAGTAGTAGCTTTTGAATTATTTAAAATTTACATAATAAAATGCTATATGTATAGGAATATGATCAAAAACTTGGCAACTTTTTTATATAAAACTAAAATTGGTCCGAACTAAACGCAATACCCAAAGCTATGGTAGTTGCTTCTCTTAGTTATTCAAATGCAATTGATTTGCCATGTAAGTTTAGAGAAATAAGAAACATTTGAATTTGGAGTTATTTTACTGGAAATGTTTCAGGAAGAAGACCTCTTCTTTTTATAAAGTTTATGAAGGAATATTATGTAAAAGATAGTGGCTAATTCTTCTTTTTAACCAGATGAAGAGCAAAAAGAAACAAGTGGCAATAACTGAAAAGGAGAAGTTAAACAGACAGTTTAAAAATTTTGTAATCAGCTCTCCCCCAAATAATCCTCTCTCTTTAAAGATCTAAAGGTGGCACCTGTGGCTCAAGGAGTAGGGTGCCTGGCCCCATATGCTAGAGGTAGTGGGTTCAAACCCAGCCCTGGGCAAAAAATAAAAATAATAAAAAAAAAGATCTAGATGCAAACCAGATCTGATGGTGCACACCTGAAGTCTTCACTATTTAGGATGCTGAGGGGAAAGGATTGGCTTGAGCCTCAGAATTTGAGTTCATCCTGGGCAACCCAGCGAGACTATCTCTTTTTTTAAAAGCAGGGGGGAGAATGTCTCAGTACGGTGATAATAATCCTGGAAGGGAAAGGAAGTGGTAAGCTAGATTTCTTAAATTTCCTTTCTATTTTGTGCTTTTTTTTACAGTAGAACTCTAGCATACGTTGCTGTTCTTGTGACTACCACAAGGGTCAAAGCCCAACTCCACCCACTGAAGTGGAGTAAATGACATTCCCAGTGTTAGAGCAGAGTGTATAGTAAATGGCCCCCTGGGTTGGTTAAATAGTAACTAGCTGTCATAACCCCAGGAAGCTTGTTACTTTATCACAGGCCCCTTTTAAAGGCCAGAACACTTCTGCTGCTGGGCTGAGAAAGTCTAATGGTAATGAAGGATAGGTTGCCTCCACTCACAGTGGTGTCAGATTGGGAAAGGGTGCACAAATTCAAAAGTGAGTCATAGTTAAAAGTGCAAATGAATTAACAGGGAAATTTTGGCTGGTTTTGTTCAGGGGTACAGCAAGGGAGTTCAACAAGATATAAATCTGCCACTAAGTCCCTCTTAGATCTCAGAATATTAAGTGGTCTTTCCCACCCCACCTCTGATTTCCCCTTTTTCCAAGTACCCAATAGTATGTGCCGCACAAAATTGTAGCTCAGAAGTAGTATGATGTTAAAATTCTCGTGGAATATGCATGTTGCTTATTTTCCCCAAACTCTTAGGGGAAGTGGTATATGGGACACCTTAAGGTCAAATCTTTCTGTGCCACCTACAAACTCTGTGACCTTGAACTCCTCCCTTCAGTTCCTCTTCTGTAAAAAGGTTTCCTCACAATGCCTGTGTGATCACCAAATAGGAACTACACGGGGCATTGCTTGTCTTTTGCTTTTGTATAAGCAAGTATGGTAATTGATTCATGGTTTGAGGTCCACCCTATTTAAGTTTTGCCAATTGAGTGTTCCTTCCAACTATAGAAAAATGGTTAAATATGTGAAATATTAGGAAATTTTGTTTTAATGGACTCTGATAATTGCAGGCCATTATTTAAGGTGCTTCCAAAGAATATTTAAGAGGGATAGTATTTTCAAATGGGACATATATATAATAGATGATTTCTTCCTATGTTTTTTAATATTACCTAGAAAGTACTGTGAAAATAAACTTAAAAGAAAAACATTCATATTTCTTCAGATGTTTATTATGTGTTTCTGAGTGCAGGTGTTGCCCTGGACCCTGAGAACACAGCAGTGACTAAGATAGGACCTGCTCATATGGAGCTCAACTCAAGGGCTACCTTTGTTCACAGTGCTTTTCTCTAGCTAATGATGTTCTTAAAAGCATGCATATACATATAACTCTTAAAATTAAAATGGAAGTTTCTGCTTTTGTTCATTTTTAATTTGGTAACTGTATAGATTAAGTACCCTCCCCCTTTTTTGGTATCTATTAAAGGATTATACATAAGTGCACAAGTGTGTCTATGGTGTCACAGTGTTAGAAAATGACTGGATGCTTATAGACAGAGTCCTGCAGCCTGTTAGCATTTGGGTCTCAGTTTTAACTTATGGAATAGTGATGTAAAATAAAACATACGTTTCTTCAACCATCCAATCTTGGAGCACTTTCCACCAGGTCAAACTGTCATGCTAGCAGAAGGAAAGTAGGAAGGTATCTTCTTTTTTTTTTTTTTTTTT